GCGACCGAGACGTGCGTACTTATCTTGACAACCAGAGTGGGCATTCTGATTGTTTTATTATTCTGTGGTTTAACTAACAGACTGACAACTATAAACTTCAAAACTTAAAATACTATTACCGTTCTGTGACTACTACTACTTAACTGTCAAAAACCTCTGTTCATATATATTTTCTGATGTTCCAAACTTCACTAGACATTTCATGAATTTTCGATGTCATCCTAAATGTTCTTGTACTACTGCCTCTTTAGAATTTCAGTTTTTTCAATTCAGTTTTTGAAATAGTAAAATACAAAATACAAATAGTAAAATAAATAGTTTTTAAACTGTCTATCTTTGGCACATCATGACAGGCTCATTTTTAAAGGAATAATTCTTTAATTATTTTTTGTCTAAACTTAAACCCTTAATCTTTCAAAATGGATCATTTTATTTTTTTATTGTTTATAAACAAAGCGCCGGTGATATTTTGAAAAAAAAATCATAATCATATAATAATAATCGATTTAAAAAAATGATTTGCTAATTGTAGCACTTTATTATTGCCTTTTCGGATCTTTTCATTATTATTCACAAATCAACAAAGGATTAGAACAATAAATACTATCACTTTTAAAAACTTTATTCTCAAAAACAAGGCACTAGAGTAAACCCTAATATTAACAATAAATAGATTTTTCGTATATAAAAACTTAAGTAGAATTATATAATAAGTACTGCCTCTGATGTAGCAAGAAGTACAAATACATGATATTGAATCGTTAAAGATTCAAAATCGTTTCATATTTAAAATCATGCCCATAAAAATCATTTTGTGGTAAGAGTCCGGCAGCAGGGTTCCTTTCTGTATGCATGGAAAGGTGTATACTTGAAAACTATTCTATCTTATGTAAAAATTTTTCGCTGAATACGAATATGTAGGTCCCCCATCTCAAAAAGGTACCATTTTTTTATAAATAATTTTTTTTTATAAATAAATTTTCAAATTTGAATATTTTAATTTACAACTAAAGTCTCATCGTAAAGTATGAGTAAAAATACATTTAAAATGCTTTTATATGTAAAAAGTTTATAATTTAAAAGTTATTAAAATTATTAAATGGAGAGTCAACTTTTAGTAGTCCTCATAACTTTTTACATGTTGCATTTTTCTCTAAAAGCTGCACATAAATAGAAAGTTTGAGCACACATCTACGATTTGCTATTCAAAAAAAATGGAAGAAACTTTATTTTACATTGAGTTTGAGCAAAGATGCAGGTATGTTTGTCCTTACACCATATCCTGATGCCTTTGTTTCGCGCACCAGTCATAGGTCGCCGGTTTTTTCCCTTGGGGAACAAGTTTTTTCCTTAGGGAAATAGGTTCACTTTGTATACTTCTTTGACGGACCACCCAGAAAACTGGGACAAATGAAAGTTTCGCAAAGAACGTTTTAACAAGTATATTTAAACAATTAGCACAACGTATTTTGAACGCCGATAACTTACTTACGATAGCTGATTTATGAGATTAGTGCCCGTATTTATAGTCGGTACTCAAGCTCGTGCTAGAGCACATACTCCGCCAAGTCGAACTTACGACAAAGTCATGCTCAAGTATTTGTTGTATTCTCTTACAAGGTTGATCTCAAGCACGAAAAGTACAGTAAAAGTAAATTACGAATAAACATCCAAAAAAAGAAGATTGTGTCAATTTTCTCCTCATTGTGACTAAACTTTTAGTGCCAAAATTAGTTTATGCTACTTACTGAAATTTTGTGTTTGATATTAATATTTTGTGTTTGAAATTAATATTGGATATTAACTATTTTAAGGTATGTAATATATTATAAAAAATATTTATTCTACAGAATTAATTTCCATTTTGTTACTGTGTATGAGGCATAATTTTAGATGTTCAAAATATATGCTTAGATGTATATTTGTTTTTGGATATATTTATATGTGTGTAATGCGTTACAATCATTATAATTATATTGTATGTGTAGGCCGTACGCTAAATAAATTGGTTATGTAAATTTTAGATGAGTGGAAATAGCAGTAAATATGCACCTTACTCAACAAAGGAAAAAGTTCCTCTAATCCAGCTGGTAACAGAAAACGGTGTGGTAGAGAACAAAAGGACAAACAGTGCTTCGGCAATGGAGAAAAAGATGGCTTGGGAGTTAATAACAATAAATTATAACTGCCAGCCTGAGGTCAACAACATCTTGCTGCCTGATTATACCATCAGGCAGCAAGACCAGATTCATAGGATGAAAATGAAGATTTTAGAAGAAGATATGCTGAGGGCAAAAGCCTTAAGAGAAGCAGTTGAGAAGGAGAGGTAGAAAGCTACTGAAGAAGCTGAATTAGCTTCATTGAAGTTAATAGACTATAAAAAGGGTAATTATAGATTTTATCATGTTTGACTTGTTACTGGAATTGGTCTATAATTAATTGTTTATTTTCAGGCGCTAGAAGATCTTTTTCCTTTGTTGGGTACTCTGCAGTTTTAAAGAAAATGTAGGAATAAGCCACAATATGTTTATTTACATATTTTATTTACTGATGTTTTTCAATCTACACTTGAGTGCAAAATAATCGACTCAAATTTTTGTCAAAGTACGTCTCCTGTTTCAATCTAAAAAAAGTAAATTTAAAAATATTTAGTGTACAATCATTAACCTCATTATTGAGTTTTAAAAAAAATTTGTTTTTTGGTGAATTGGATGACGCATTACAAATAAATAATGCAACACGTAGAGAGGGGTCAGAATTTGACTCATTGAAATCGACACGCACCGACTTAACGCGTTCGTTTAACATCGTACACATTAATTTCCATAGCAACCCACTAATACATCAGTCACTTAAGTTCGCAACTGCATTACAAATGGATACCACGTCCGTCAACGCAACTCAAGCAGTAGCATTATTGAGGAAAGGCTGAGCCAGAGGGCCGTAGCAAATCGACTAAATTTAAGCCAATCTGCTGTGTCCCGAGTATATCGTCTGTACCAAGATACTTTGAGTATATTCATCGACAAGGAGGAGGCCGTAAACGAATAACAACGGAGAGAGATGATCGATTTCTTGTATCGAAATCCTGAGAAATCGATATTTGAGTGGTGCTAAACTCAAAGAAGAGCTTAGAGAGGTCCGAGGTGTGGTGACCAGCATTTGGACAGTTAGAAGGAGACTTAAGGCAGCCAACCTAATACCAAAAAGGCAGCTACGGATCACAAGCTAACTGCAGCCCAGAAGCAAAGGCGATTAGAATTTGCTTGCGAACATCTGGATTGGGACGACTATCAATGGAGTCAGGTATTATTCTCCGATGAAAGTAGGATCTGCCTACATGGCAACGACAAGAGGCGTCGAGTCTATGGAAGGCCAGGAGAGCGATTTGCTCAATTTTGTATACGAGAAATTGTCTCATGAAGGCGGTTCTTGTATGTTTTGGGCAGGCAGTTCTATGGATGGGAAAACTGAGTTGATTTTCGTGCCTGGTGGAGGACGTGGAGGATGTTTAACGGCAGTTCGTAACATCAGAGACATTTTGGAGGAACATGAATCTTCTTCTAAAAATTAAACCTCCTTCCACATCATTAACATTTCTATTTACTACATTAGTATTTTCTAGAAAATATCATCACTATCATTATTTTCCTGTAAACATATATTGCAAAGTACTGCTGTAGCACTTGTTATGCAAAATATGTATTTAATTTGGTTTGTAGGCCTCATTGCAGACAGGGAAACCATATTTTCCAGGGTCCAAATATCACAACAATATTAATCTCAAAAAACAAAAAAAATATCGTATTGGAAATTTTCATAAATATAAACAAACAAGTTAGGTTAGGATTTCGTGCTCAAGACAGGTCGATCCGATGCTTGAGTACGAGCTGTCATTTCTGCGTACTCAAGCTCTACTTCGTGCTTGAGAACGGTTTATAGAACACAAATTTGATTCAAGGTCGACCTCAAGCATCGACTATAAATATGGGCCTTAGTTTGAATTTATGTGCCAAAAACGAGATAACTTGCTGGTGAAACAATATTGACACGAACTGAGTAAACTTATTAATATACCGAATGTGTTAAACCTTCTAAGGTGCAAATAGCGCGAACAGGAGTCTAGCGCTCATCCAATGCTGGATCCGAACTGATTTCAACTCACTGCCTCGAATCACGCTCGCAATCGTTTCTTAAAATTCAGAAATTGCCCCCCCCCCCGACCAAGACGTATATAAAGGATATGTTTACATTTAAAATTACCTTCTACTCTCCGTTCATTGGTAAAAACTACCTGAGAAGGGTATATTTCAATTTTCTTTAATGTTGGGAGTTTTCGAATGACTCAAACCGATAATTTGGAATTACTAATCCTTTCATTGTTTCGATTCTTTGAAGATTTTAGAAGCTTATGTCTAGAAAGTTATTTGAATGCAAGCTATTGGCGCCGTACAGATTATTAGATGGTACAAAAGAATTTTATAAATCTTAAACTAATATACAGTGTGACAAAATGAAATAAAAATATTAAATATTGTTGTTACGCAACAGAGTTAACAAGCAATAACAAGCAATAAACAAATAGCTTTTCGCCCTTGAAGAATCACAAGTTCAAACGAAGCGAGTACGTGTTCACATTATAGATGCTAAATAGTAGCTATTTTAAAATTTCAATAACTGCTGGATCCATGCTGGCGAATGTCGACAATACGTATTCGTCCGGTTTGTGCTTGTGATTTTGCTAGGGAAAAAGCTATTTGTTTATTGCTTGTTAACTCAATTAAAAAGAAAATTTCTTCAATTTTTGTTCAATAGTAAACTGTAAAAATGGGTTTAAACTTGCTTTGCGCATTTTTTTAGAGAAAAATGCCCCGTCTAAAAAGTTAGCGGACTAAAAGTTAGATTAAAGCTTCGATTTCTCTACATAAAAATTGTAATAACTTTTAAACTATAAAACTGTGTATACCTAAGATATATAGCATTTTTTAATGTATTTTTAGCTATACTTTACGATGACACTAGTTGTAAATTAAAATATTGAGATTTAAACATTTATTTATAAAAAACTGTTTAAAAAAATTTTTGTTTATAAAACCACTTTCTGGGATGGGGGACTTACCTATTCGTATTCAGCGAAAAAAATTACATAAGATAGAATAGTTTCCAACTATCTACCCTTCCATGGGTGGGTACCCTGTAAAGACCTTTCAGGAAGGTACCCTACTGCCGGACTACAAATAGATTTGATAATATGTTTTGTTTGCGACAATCTTATATTTTTTTCATTTATATTCTCCCATTGCTTAGTAACATAACGGACACGCTAAAAATTATCCGTAAGAAATTACATGACCGGATATATGACCACTGATTCAAGCCATAAAAGAGAAAACAAAAAAACGATAATGGAAATTCAGTTAAATTGTTGGTAAGTTTCAAGTACTAGTCTCCGATATGTTGAACAACAAAATACGAGTGCCCACATCAGCAATTAGGAGCAGACAATGAGCAGGATGTGTGGCATATAAGAAATATCAACGAAGTGAACATAATTTATGGAGAGAGAACCTAACCTAGTAGACGAGGTCAAAGCAATTAAACTAGGCAACACGAAAAAAATTACAGAGGTGTTCTTCTTCACTGGCTTTACAACTCGGGGTGAGTCTTCTCCGCATCCAATATCGCCCTCCATCCTCTACGATCTTGCGCTTCTATTTCCCATTGTTGTACCGCAATTCTAGATAAATCGGCTTCAACATCATCCTTCCATCTTTTTCTCGGTCGGCCTCCACAGGTGTTACCGGTTAGAAAACTCTACCTGAGAATTCCAGGTATAAGACACGAAGGAATAACTGATTCAGATATTATGATAATACATACGGTCGAAAAAATTATATTAAGTATGTTATAATTGTATTGGTTCATTTTAACAACATTTTAATGACAATCGAGTACCACGCATGGGAAAACAGAAAAAACTGTGGCAAAGAAAAAGTTTATAAAATGGAAATAAATATAATAAACGGTAAATGGAAATAATAAATGGTAAATTACATGGAAAAATAATAATGATGATGTTGCATGTTTTAGTAATGAAATGATTAAAAATAAAAAAAATGAAACAAAAAGAGTAATAAAAGCTTAAAGAAACATGCTGCCAAATGAAACTCGACACTTCAGACTGATGAAAAATAATCCAAAAACACATATTTGAAGGCATGTAAAAATGGCATGTAAGTGACTATTCCATCGGAATAAGGACCACGTATAAAATAAATTAACACTTAAAAACTAAGTCTGTCTCAAACTAAATTTATGATAATTTTTTTCATAATAATAATTTACTATGATTGGCGTAAGGTATAAATATTATATGGAAGGTTCAGACTCAGAGTAACCTAGTATAAAATGTAGGTCAAACAATTCGGATTCCACACACCTCATGCAGATATAGCACAGCTTCCTTTAATTTGGCACGTATTTCCCTGTCAACCATCTATTCCTCATCATCATCCTCCTCTCCAGGTTTCTTGATAACTCCCCATTTCTCGGCTTCCTGTAACGCTTGTGCTGCAATCTCCACAATCTTCTCTCTTCCATCATACGGTGGCAACTTCGATAAAGCCATTAAAATTTCTAAAACATCTGTCTCAACCAACTTCTCGGCAACTGTTTTGGATGCTGAAAGTATGTTGTAAGCTACGCAGACTCCTCTGTACTGCATACTAAGTACTGGGTTTGCTAAAAGACAGTGTAATGTCTCCAACCAATTTTTTGAGTCGAAGATTTTCTCGCAGCACTTTTTGCTGACTCCTGTGAGGATAGCAAGCATACCTGCAGCTGCCATAGACGTGTCTTTGTCTTCATCGAGGCAAAGAGATACAGTTAACTTCATCTAAAATAAAATAGAGTAAATGATTATATTTTTTCTAATGATTTTATTATTTTAGAGAACTTACGTTCAAAAAATCTTAGGTGAAAAATAACAAACAAAAATGGATAGTTTTTACCCAACGTGACCGGAAGTAGAAACTGAAGTTAATATTTAAATTCTTCGTCTGACTTTGCATCGCTCGTCGACTGATACACGATTTTACCAATTTTGATTTTTGCCAAACTTCCCGTCTTAACTTTTTAACCGGCAATGTAATTAAAATCGGAACTAAATATTCGAGCTCGACTTTTCAATACACGTCGATTAATATATCATACATACTATTTTTGCGACCATATTGTGGCATTTCCGGTTACACCTTTTTAACCGGAAATTACATAAAATCCTTAAGTATATATTTGTTTTCGTCTTGTTAAAGTGCGTCGAATAATATATAGCTTGTACTATTTCGGAGACTCTAAAACAGTACTAACGGTTGCAACTCTCGAACAGTAAGTTCGACATTTTTACATTTTAATTTTGTAAAATGGATAAAACCATTTGACCATCTGACATGCCCAAACCAATGTAGTCTTTGTTCTATCTTTTTTGTGATTGTAGGCACCTCGGCTCTTTCCCTAACGAAGTCGTTGCTGATTATGTCCCTTCAAGTTTTACCCAATATCCACCGTAACATTTTCATTTGAGCTACCTCCATCTTCCTTTCCGGAACCTTCTTTACAGGCCACACTTCACCACCGTACAGCAACGCAGTCCTTCTCCAATTTTTCGATCACAAATTACCCCGCTCATTCGCTGCCAATTAAACTACGAACCTGTATCCTGTGGACACTTTCTCGATCTAGTGTCTCATTTTCCGTTAAGCAGGAGCCAAGGTATTTAAACTCGTCCTAGGTTTTCTCTAAGCAATTCTATATACCTAACCATTCTTCTCCTCTAACATATTTTTGATATCCTCTACTAACACGATCACCAAAGAGCATTGGCCAAGGATACCCCTCCCTTACTTTCTCTGTCAGTACATCCATAACAAGATTAAACAGGTAGGGACTCAGTTAAGAGGTTTGATAAATATCAATCGTCATTGGAAAACTTTCGGTCAACCCGACACAAGTCTTTACTTTGGTGTACGCTCCCTCATGCATATCCTTCACAAGTATTTGTGACTGTGTCGTACGCCTTCTCAAGATCTGTAAATACCAAATGTAGCTCTCTTTTCTTCTCGTCCTATTTCTCTACCAACTGTCTTAAAGCAAACAAGGCATCCGTTGTCCTCCTCCCTGGCATAAACTCAAACTGTTCTCCTATCGATGTCTCTCTCCTTAATCTACGGTTCTCTCTCAAATTTTCATTGTGTGCGATTAAATGTATCCCCCTATACACCTTAAGTACTGAATGTCCCCTTTATCTTTATACCATGATACTATGACACTCTCTCTTCATGCATTGGGCATCCTCTCTTCCTCATATATCCTACTCATCATTTGCGACAAAATATCAATCCCTTCCTCTCCTAGAGCCTTCCAAACCTCCATAGGTATACCATCCAGCACGCATTTGAGATCCAGTATCCTCTGTCACTCCTCTGGTGTTTTTTATTTAGCAACTTTTTTAAAGTACTCATACCGTCTTTGCTTTATTTCAACATCGGTTCTTAATGCTCTTCCACCCGCACTCTTAATCTGCCGCACGTGCGTCAAGTCCTTTGATATCTTTCTCCATTGCTTTAGCAATACTGTATAACCTTTTCATCCCCTCGAGCGTTTCTAACTCTTCATACAGCTGTGCACACGATCACTCCTTAGCAGTAACTACGGCGCCCTCTTTGCTACCTTTATATATATATATATATATATATATATATATATATATATATATATATATATATATATATATATATATATATTTATATATATATATTTTATACATTTGCAATATATCCGTATCTTGCTCTCTTTTGACCTGTCATACCTCTATGTAGCTTCTTTGTTTTCTCTAACCTTCTGTTGCACTTCATCGTCCCGCCACCAAGTTTCATTTTCTCTAGGGGGTCCTTTACCAGATGTTTTTTCTAGCACTTCCACTCCCACTCACATCACAACTTTGATGTTTCCAACTTTTCCACCAGTCATTTATCGTTTCCTTTTCCTCAAGCTTTTCCAGTACTCTACTCTTAAAGACCCTTGCCGAATCTTATCCTTTAACTTCCATCACTTTAATTTTTGGTATCCTACTTGCTTTCCTTTCCGCCTCACCTTTATCTCCGTATCCACTATCACCGGTAGGTATTGACTAGCTACACACTCACCCTTTATCACTTTATAGTTGGTTATCTCTTTTAGCTGACTTCTACACAGCACAAAATATATATGAGTTTCCCTTCCCCGCTACTATAGATAACATACTGGTCTTCAGTTTTCATAAAGGACATATTAATGACATGGGACAAATCCCATGTCACTGCAAAGTCAATAACACTATTTTCTTTCTCATTTCTAATTTTCACCCCCAAACTTCCGTGAACTCGTTCTATTCCCGCTCTTTATCTACCAATATGTCTATTCAAATCACCTTCAATAAAACACTATTCGTCTACAGGAATCTCGAGCATCTCACAATCAAGAGCACTCCAACATTCTTCCTTTTCCTGTTCTTCGCAGCCTACCTTTGGGAGGTAGGTACATATATGATGTTCACGTTGGTATTGCCTTTATTCAGTTGGACACTTATTATTCTACCACTTCTTCTGGTTACCCTTAAAACATAATCCTTCTACTCGTTGTTCAAAATAATACCTACGTCATTTCTGCCGTGACTGTTCGAACTACTACTCGTATATACTAACTTGCATCCATTTGGAGTCCTTAGGCTACTAGGAGTCAGGCGAGGCCGCAACAGCGCGTCGCTTACGGCGAACGCCCTAGCCTCTCAACTGCTTTCTATATTCCTTCCTTCAGTGGTTTTAGCAAGGTTTTTACTGCCGGATGGCCTTCCTCACGCAAACCCTCCTCCTTTATCTGGGCTTAGGACCGGCACTGATAGTTAAAAAAAGACATACTCCGTAGCACCTTAATAAACGAATTTTCATTTTCATTTTTATCACACGATTTCGAAAGATTGTTTTCATTTTTTTGAGTCCTGCTCTTCTTCTTCTTCTTTTGGCATCATAACCCTGGATAGGTCTTTGCCTGTCTGGCTATGTCCTTCCATTCAGATCTCTCTTGTGCCCTTCTTCTCCATTGTCTTATGTTCATTGTTTTCAGGTCGTCTTCCACGTCATCCAACCATCTCGTTCTGGGCCTTCCTTTTTTTCGCCTTCCTATGGGCTTCCATTGTAACATTTTCTTTGTTGTTTTTGCATCGTTTTGTCTCTGCACATGTCCCAGCCATGACAGTCTTTGACTTTTCACAAATCTTACAATGTCATAACCTTCATTTAACTCATTAACCTCGTCGTTTCTCCTGATTCTCCATGTGCCATCTTCCTCTTGTACCGGGCCATATACTTTCCTCAGTATTTTTCTCTCGAATGTCCTGAGTTGGGCTTCATCTTTTTTCGTCATTACCCAGTTTCACATCCATAGGTTACTACGGGTCTAATCAGTGTTCTGTAGATAGTCATTTTGGTTCTTTTGTCTAATAATTTCTATGTCATCAATCTTTTATTAGCATAGTATGTACGATTCCCGCTGGAAATACGTGCATTAATTTCGCTACTTACGGAGTTCTTCTGATTGATTTCTGTGCCGAGATATGTAAAGGCATCCACTCGTTCGATAGTATAGTTGTCTATTGTGATATTATTTTCATTGTCAGTTATTCTTTTGACTGTCATATACTTCGTTTTTGCTTCGTTTATTTTGAGACCTCTTTTTCTTGCTTCAGGATCAATTTGTTTGAACACTTCCATTAGTCGTGGCTTATTCCTACTAATGATGGCTACATCGTCTGCATATGCAGTAATTTGTACTGATTTGGTGTTTATATGGCCGGTTATATTGGTTTTTCTGATGACTGCCTCAAGAACTAGGTTGAATAGCATGGTTGATAGGGCATCTCCCTGTCTTACTCCCATGTTGATGTTAAACAGGGGAGTCAGTTCTCCATCTACTCTGACTGCGGCTTTTGAACCCTGCAACGTCATTTTTATGAGGCTGATGTATTTATTAGGTATACCTAGATTACAAAGGTCTTCCAGCATTCTGTCTCTTTTCACACTATCAAAAGCTTGTTTAAAGTCTATATACATATTATATAGGTCTATGTCGTATTCATAAGCTTTTTCTTGTATCGTTCTTAGTATGAATATGTTATCTGTAGTGGCTCTATTTGGTCTGAATCCATTTTGATAATCACCAATTATATTTTCGGAGTATTCTAATAATCTATTGTAGATTATACCAGAAAGAATTTTGTATATTACATTTAGCAATGTAATTGCCCTATAATTCTGGCATTCCCTCTTATCTCCTTTTTTATATATTAGCTGTATGAGGCCAACTGTCCATTCCTCTGGCATTTGCTCCTTCGTCCATATTAATGTTATTAGGTAATGGATTCTTTCCCAGAGTTCGGATCCTCCATGCTTTAATAATTCTGCCAAAATTCCGTCCGTTCCTGGTGCTTTATTGTTTTTTAGTTTATTTATTATCTGAACTACTTCTTCATAACTCGGATTTTCGATGTGCAGCTCCGCCGTATAATATATTGTCTCGTTCTGATAATTTTCGTTGTCTGCATTTAGATTTTATTCGAAATATTGTTTCCATCTCATTATAATTTTTTGCTTCTCTGTTAGTAGTTCTCCGTCCTTGTCTTTGCATATCGTTAGTTTTGGTCTAAATGACTGTGTGCTTTCTTTTATGCATTTATAGAATTTTCTGCTTTCGCGTCTGTTGTTATGCTTTACGATTTCTTGTACTTGTTTTTTCATAGCCTCTCTTTTCTTTCTTCTGCATATTCTAGTCGCTTGTATTCTTTTTTCGTTATAAATCTCACTG